GACCCTTCATCAGAAAAGGGCTTTTCTGATGAAGGGTCTAGGCCCGAAACGTCAGCCTCTCTGCTCCTAAGATGCTGCCTGACCTTCTGTGTTCATCCAGCCCTGCACCTTGTTGTCAAGGATGGTGCAAGTCTAGGTTGGAGACAATGTCCACTACCAACAGTTTGTCAACAGCAAGCTCAATTAAAGGACAGGAAGGAGAGTGCACCATATTCATCCCATTTCTGCAATGAGTAAACACGACTGAAAATTGACCAATTTTACCTGCCAAGGTAAATTAGCATTAGAAACTGTTAGCATGTTGACATGAACATGAAACCTTTTAGGCAAGGGTAGAACAATAGAGAGCACAGCATATTAGAGTGGAATAGAACTATCACTGAGGAACAAGATCTGTGCCAGCTGAATAACACCTACCCAGACAAGAAGCTGCGTCACTACTACATCCTTTCGCTCACAGGCGAGATGCAGAGCTGTCCGTTTGTCTTTATCTTCAGTCCATTCATTGATGTGCTCCTTCTTGGCATGAGCAAGGAGTAGTAAAATACTGTGAAGGTCCTTCTCCATAACAGCTCGGAACAGCTGCTTTCCGATGGGAATGTCTCGGTATTTCAAGGATGCAAGAAACAGTTTCTGCTCATATTTTGCTCTGATCCAGTTCTCCCTTTCTTCCCTATAACAGGAAGGGCAGGTCACAGTGGTGTCTTGGCAATTATGGCCAGTAGTTAAAACAGCAAGAATTCAACAATGTTTTGGACAAAGTTGTGCTTAAACAAGCGCCTACTCACAATATGGCTGTAAAGGAGACTAGCAGTAACTGTGTTAATGTGTCAACAGGGTGAAATTTTGTTAGATAGAGGGAAGGTGAACCTCTCTTGGGAGAATTCATGAGTTGGAAATGCCCCATGCAAATTTTGCCCCAAACAGATTCTTAATTATTTTCTTGAAAATCATTTTAATTTTAAAAGTAAGATTTGGTAATACCTGTAATTGGACATAATGATGGTGTAAGATACCACTATTTTATCAGTTTTGGGATTATAAACTGAAATGGAATTTGGACTGCTGTAGATGTTAAATACCAGGAGGGTTTTGCTACTTGGAAAAATAAAGTGCTGCTGTGTCAGACAATGCTGTGTTAGCTGTGTCAGACAATGTTGCTTTTCAAAGCGGTAAGGGAGATAAAATTTGAGAGTAGTAGTATTAAGAGTCTTTGAGTTAAGGAAATTCTGTCTAATGACACAGTCCTTTGACTAATTGAGCTGCAGTTTGTCACAAAGCTGGAAGTGCCAGGACAGCAGAGACTTCCAGACACCGGCAAACTGAACACACCTTTCCCTTTCTCTCCCTCTGTGTGGGGGGAGAAATTACAGAATTCTTTCTTTTAAGCTTTCTTGTTATTTTTTGAACAAGAAAGGTGTAGGTCTGCTAGATAAACTATCAAAGCAAAGAGCAACCATCACTCTACAGGCAGCAGCATATCATTATTGCTAAAAAAGTCAGGAGGAACCATGTGAGACAATCTAACCTACCTTGAAATCTGGACTTATGATCTTTTGAATTTTGCTCAGCATATCTATATTCTTTTTCCATCAATGTCAAACTGTCTGTCTTTCATTTGTCTTAGTCGTTAATGAGTGTGTAAATATTTTGGGTTTTAAAGGGGTTTCAGTTATCATAGAGTTATACAGCACAGAAACTGACCTTTTGGTCCAACTCATTAGAAATCCTCTTTTCTCTGCCATTTCTGAAAGTTAAGTGTTTCTGAAAAGTTATTTTCTGTTAATGATGAAAACCTGTGTGAATTGTTTTTGTCCTGAATAGCAATCAGTTAGGTAAATTGAACATCTTGGGGGTCTCGTTGGAACTTTAAACATTCAGTGACGCCTTGTGGAACAGAGGAGCATAAGTATCGGCACACTCTTCCCAGTTAGGTCATAACAATGGCATTTGTATGAATCGTGATTGTTTTATCCCTTTCTTCACATCTGAATGGTGGACTACAGCTTGATAGGAGCTGGCAGCTTTTGGTACCTCATTCAACGTAGACAGATTATTTGCCCGATGAGACAAGAGATTGCAGCCAAATTTAAATTTATCCTCTCCAAGGTTGATCGAGTTCCCTACTGCAGAGCATTAAAACCAATTATATATCCCCACCACCTCTCTAGCTGAGGTCAGTTACTTGGGCAGGGACACAGTGGGCTGAATGACCACCTGCACTGGCTCCTCCAGCTCATAGATTAGTTGGATTCGAATTGGACACCTTTGTATCTGAATGGTCCAATACAACACTGGACAGAGAATTTACTCACTGAGCCATAAGAGCAATGGACTACAACTTTTCAGATAGGGCTCACATGACAAACTTGGTTTGGGGTCTCAAACATGAACTAGAGGCCAACTATATTCCTATTTTTAAATCAGCTTATAAAGACCCTGCTAGTTTATTTCATCTTTCAGTGAAAGGCTAATCTCAACTTTAGCTCAGCTCCAATTTTTTTTAGTTGGAATAGATTTAACAGATTTAATTCACATAGAAATCTCTAAATCCTCCAATTTCAGAAACTTTGGACAGCTCAATCAGAAAATTCCAAATTTGCAAAATGAGTCTTGTACTGTTGTGAATGTGAAGAATCTTACATTTCAAGTACAGTGCTTGGTAAAACACTAGACATGTAGAATGAATTAAAGGAGTTCCTCTCAATGCTTGGAGCTGTCAGACAAACTGGAATGGGTCTCCTACAGATACAAAGAATGAGGTAGTGCACATGTACAATACAATTTGTTGATGGGAATGAGTAACATTTCACCATACATGTAAGATATTCAGAACTACAACTTTGTCTCCTCAGATCCAAATCTGTTGCTGGTGACTTTAGCAGTGGCGAATGCAAAGCAGTCACTTACCGTGTAGATTCTGGAGTGGGCTTGCTGCGTCCCTGAGTATTCTTCTCCCACACACTGTTTGCCATCTCATTTCCAATAGACGTCAGCACAAGCGTTAGCTCCAAAGGCCAGTCATCAAGATCCAGAGATCGTACTCGTGAAAGATGGGTCCCAAGATTACGATGAATCCCTGAGCATTCAATACAGATGAGTGCTCCCAAATTCAGACTTGCCCAGGTAGGATCTGGAACAGGGTCAAGAAAGTTCACAACTTAATTTATGTTGTTATCAAAATTTGATAATGTGTCAAAATAAATGCGTCAGCAGATAGAGAGGTGCTGCACGTTGGTCACATGTGGAGCCACCAGACCTGTCTTGTACATAATCTATGGCCATCTTAGAACAGGCATGCTCTGACAGCAGGTTGCTCTCCTTGTCACCACAGTTGGTGCCTGTGGAGAGTCAGAGTATTGGGAGAGATAGCTGACAGAGCATAAGAAATTCTGTTCCTCTAGTTCAACATTTAATTTTTCCACCAGTCACCCCCATTTTTCTGGAACAAACCAGACTGTTTAGCTCTGAGGTGACCTCTGCCCAACCGGTAGAAGCACTGCTCACATTGCCAAATTTGTGGGGATCATTCTTTTTCAGTGCCTAACACATGGACCTGTTTTCACAAATTGGTAACCCCAAGAGTGGGGCAGATATTAGACCGTCCCCACTCAGGAATCGTTTGTGGCCTCTGTGGCTGCCAACCAAAGCTTCTAGATCTACCTTCCCATGGAGCCAGGAGGTACGGGAGTGTTTCTGGAAACCCCACAGAAGTTATTATTGTCCCAGTCCCATAGCATGTACAGCCACTTTTCACCCACCCCAGGATTTGCATGATTGTAAGACACTCACTATCTAGGTGTATAGTCCCAGAGCCACACATGATTTAGTGACTAGATCATCCTACTGAAGTGATACTGTGCCCTAGTCAGAAGTGAGCTTGACAATTTAAACATTCACACTGAGCCCATTTTGTAAAAAGATGACAAAATCTTGACCAAATCCAATAAGTTTAATTTTGCTGATGATTTTGAAAAGGAAATATAGATTCTTACTTGCAGCAGCACAGTCAACACAGAATGAATTTCCTTTGGCGTTTCTTATCGCCTGGAGGGCAACGGCTTCACTCCGGCTGTCCATCCGAGCCTAAGGTATAAAATGTATAATTTAGGGAACTCAATGGATAAATGAGATAGTATGAAAAGCATTGCTCCCTTCCAGTAAATTGCAGACCTGGAATTCTGGTCTGGGCAACGTCAAGTTGGGGCAATGTCTGGCCAGGGAATTGGAAAATCAATTGCCCTTAGAACTGAGCAACTGGTTTGTTGTCGTTTACTTCTGCATTGACTGAAGCTAGAGATTGTGACCAAAGTATAATGAACGTTGTACGTTGCAAGGTGCTTGTGCTTTGAAATGTCTCTTTAAATCCAAAGTGAAAGGGAATTCTGGAAAGGTGTATTTGGAATTCATAATGAACACCTCAATTTGGGGAAGTGCACATATTATTTCAGATTGCCAAGGGAATGAGACTTGAGAAGGGATATAAAGACAATTAAACCTACTGAAATGTCATCTCTCAGGGAAACTGACAAAGCAAAAGAAAAGCTGTTGCCGAAAGGCAGGGAGAAGAGAATTAGAATTCTCCCAGGGATAGGTCTTCTTTGTTCTTGAGGAAATCATGGGGAGCAAAGAAAACCTTTCCATGGGAAAAACAGTTTTACCAGAGATAACTAAATCATTTAAAGGTGTTGGATGCAGGAAGATCTGGAATTCTGGGTTAAGACAGTTGTGACCAGAGGCTCAGGGGGAATTCATTGAGGCTTGCCTGGCTGATGATAATCAGATCCAGAAAACTTAGGCAGTGTAAAATGATCATTGAAGGGCATTGAAAATTTCAACTTGATGTGGTAGGGAGTGTTGAAGCTCTGCTGCAGAGCCAGGAGTGACTCTGTCTGGCTTGATCAATATGTTTCCTTTTCATTCAATCTTGCATCACGCAGCATCTTGAAACAAGTTTGAAGAACATTAATTTAGGTGTAGCTGAAGCTGACAAAAATGGTCAAAATATGTGCCCCTGCCATCCTTGATGAGCACATATTTTGTGGGATTGTTCACTTATAGGGCATGAAACTTGCATAAAAGTGCGTCTTATCTAATGCACTTTAAGGATTAACTTTGGAGGCAGCATACACACCCATTGGGATATCTTTATATTTGAAATACATTAACATTATTTGGTGTGCTGACTAAGTTACCTTGTTCTTGCTACTTTCACAGGACTGCAGACTGGCCAGGATTTGACTTTCAATGGCTTGGACCCAGGCATCCCTCTCTTCAAAATTCACTGCTTCAAAGTACCACATCTGGCCCGTGCTGGAGACAATAGTGAACTCAATGTTCTCCTCTTGTTCTGTGAGAGGGATAATTAGGAGAAAACAGATTTTTTTTACCCCCAGCAGTATTATGAAGTAGTCACTAATGTAAAGGTCTGTGAATTTGGCTGTTTTACCCAGTGTTGGATATGACTAAGCAGTGAATTCACAGCATGCTGTGTATAGATTCATACTTGACAAAAGGAATTATATATTTACGTAGAACAGATTATTCAATGACACAAAATGTAAAAAGTTATTGTTACAAAAGAATGTCAAAAAATGTTTTTTAAATGGAGATTGAAAATATCAACAGGTTCCCCTCTACCCCTATTGGTTAAGTCAGCAAATTTACTGGCTGGTATGAGGGAGCGTCCCAGGTTTAACTCTGGTCTTTATTGAGTCACGTTAGCAGAAGCACAACAATTTGCCTCAATGTACCAGCCTTGGATCATGGGAAAATCAGCCAAAATTCCAACTACTGATTCCATCAAAGAAGGCAAAGTGGGCACATGAATAGTCAGGACTGGGCTGTGTCATAATGTACCAAGTTCAACAAGCCTGTGGGTACTCGTTATCTAAAAACACAGTTCAGGAGAGGTCACAGAACCAAAGTACAGAAGGGTAGGCCAGAATTCAAGGATCTTCATCCCAAGATATCACCCAGGATTGGGAGGGGATCTGTTTTACAACCACATATTCTTTAAGAAGGATTTTCTGACTTTGTAAGATGCAGCACCTCTGATTGCCCCATTATGTTGACAATGTTTCTCATAAATTGCATGCAACCTGAGGAAATCCTCCTTCAGATTTAAAGGGGGTTCCATCAACTGGAGTCTTTCTTTTGCTTGAACCTCATTGCGTATCCATCAAAATAGATTTTCAAGCTAACATAACCCTTTTTTAATGGGCAGTTTAATTAACAGGACAGCCTTCTTTCAAATGAGCAGGACATTTATCCTTTATTTTGCAAATACTGTAGATGAACATTAAAACAATTTGCCTTTCAATTATCTACAAATATATACTGGGCTGCCCTTTGTCAGGCTCTTCTTTCCCCTGTCCCTTACACCCTCCATACACACAGCCAAACCAGAAGAACAATAAAACATAGGATTCACTGCCCAGGCAGGCTCAAGAGTGAAGGTTTAACATTCACAATGCAAAAGGACACTGAAAAGCAAAGGCACAGGACAAACGCTTGAACACAGATGTACTCTGGACAGAACACACAACTAACAATGGTTCTCGCCATTGGATACAATTTAAAATAACGTTACCTGCTCTGTAAATATTTCTTAAACTACCAAAACGCTTTAATTTCCACACCCTGCGTTTGGCTGCACCCAGAATCCAGCAAAGCAAGTAGTAGAAGCAATTGGAGAAAGACATTGGAGAAAAGATTACTGCAGAGCACAGCTTCACATTAATAACTGCAAAAGGAAACAGCTGATCTAGGGTACAGACGTGGGCACTGTTGATCCCATGCATCTCACAATGGGCATGAATGGAACAATTATTATTTAAAAACTCAGAACATGCAATTGATATGCAAAATGCACCTCTCAAATCAAGTTCTTGATACCAATTACTTTTATTATTTCACCACACACTAGGAACAAGAATTAAAGTGGATGTTTGCCTTCACTGAGAGTAGCAATTAGCTGTTGAAGAGGGACTGAATAGCCTTTTGTCACAACACAATGTCAGGAGCCTATTGCCTTCTGAAAAATTAGTAAATCCTACCGCTTTTCAAACTCGTTTTATTCTCCCACCCACAGTGCAAGATGACTGCATATTGCAAACATACATACATACTTCATTGATTAATCATTAAAAAATGCTTAATCGACTCTTTATTTCTAATTTTCCACGTACTTCATCCAGCAAAATGTAGCCTCCTGACAACTGGAGACAAAAGCTTCTCCAACCCAGGCAAGGTTGTTAAACTTTAAACCTCCCCTCAGCCTTCTTTTCACCTGTGTAAGTGGAGCAACCACTTGCCTCAGTGTGCTGTAAATTAAATAGAAGTTTTTACTCCTCTGTAAAGCTATGGGGATGTAGGACTAAGTAGTTAAGGATAGGATCCTGGCTTCTAAATCTAGGAAAGGGAGTTGATGCTCTGTTGAATTTGTCTCATTCTACACAATTACTGACTGGGAAAGGTGTAGGCATGGGTTTTTTTTTTGGGGGGGGGGGAGTGGGGCAGAAAGAGAGAACAAATGAACAAAAGCTCCCTTTCCCCATACTTATCTCAGTGGCAACTCAAAAGGAAGACTTACAAACATCTTGGAAATACACCTCGAATGACTTCACCTACATCGAGTTACTCTGTTACAGGAACAAATGCAGTCAGCACTTAACACACAGCAAAATCTCCCAAACAGCACTGTGGAATGACCGATCAGTCTGCTCTGGGTGGTGATGGTTGAGGGAGAAATATTGACCAGAACAGGGACAGCTCCCTTACTTGTCTCCTGGGGTTATTACAGGATCTTTACCATTTACCCAGAGAGGCAAATGTGATGTCTCAATGGCACAAGGCACAGCACAATGCACTGACATTGACAGTACAAACACTAATCCTCATTGCTTGAGGCAGCCAATTTAAAGTTTCATTTCCTATTCAAATAGGATAGGCTGGGAACATAATCGTTAATAAGTGAAAACAGACAGCCTCTATAAATTAATTACCTTTGCGGCTCCATAGGAAGATGCAATACTTAGCCTTTCCACTCCAGCCCGATGTGTTAGATTCTGTTTCATTCAGTTTAAGTAAGGACAGTTGCTTGCTTAAATCAAACGAATACATTTTACATGGTACTGAAACTTGTACCAGTGATATTACAAGTGTGTGAGAGTGAGAGTATTTGTGCGTGAGCGTGGTTTAGAAACTCTTTTTAATTGGACCTTTTATACCAATGGCCTTAATGAGACAACTCCAGAAACTGGTAACCTGAAAATAAAAGGTGCAATCATGTTCCAATGAGTATAAATTTTGGTCTCTAACCTCCTTTGATCACCCAAGATGTTGATTTCTGCAAAATATCAAGAAATGTTTTACAGATCCCGCGATTGGCTAAACTCGTTTAGCCAGTGAGGAACAGAAAGTGCCAGAAAGTTCTGAGGAAGGGGTCACCGGACCCGAAACATTAACTCTGTTTTTCCCTTCACAGGTGCTGCCAGACCTGCTGAGCTTCTCCAGCAACTTTGTTTCTGTTTCAGGAATGGCTGCTGCTCTGTTATGAATTACCCAATCTCAACCTGTGTGACAGTTGTGGAGGTTCAACTGACTCGAGACACATGGACTAGGGACAGAAAAATCAGCCAGGGCTCCTACCACTGACCACCATTATTTAAACTTGTTTTTGAGAGGCAGCCAATACTGACCCAGCCAGTGTAGAGTACCCAGTAGATATTTTAAACCAATCATATTATGTTATACAATTGTAAAAAGGCCAGATCAGGCTGGGGTGACAGGTTCTCAGCCCTAAAGGACTTTTGCGAGCCAACTGGCACAATCCAGCAGATCACATGGTCAATTTCTGGTCCTAACCCAAGAACGACCGGGATTGAAGTAAATTTGACAACATGGTCTCGTATGAACTGAACTCTCAACCTCTAAGTTCCTAGCCCAGTCTCATAATCTCTGAGTTACCATACCCAACAGGTCAGCAACAACTCTTGTGGGAAAGTGCACGTGTGCATGGACATTCGAGCGAGGAGAGAATAAGACTGGGTTCATCAGTGATACTCCTTGCAGTTGAATAGCCCAATAGTCATGGTCAAACATCATGGTGAGATTAATCACCACTCATTTAAGGTACTGAAAGGTGAGCAGCACTATGGAATTATCGTCCAGCATGCAGAAAACATAAGTAAACATTGACAGTGGGTAGGGTTAAGCTGGTTTGGGGGGGTGGGGGGGAAGGGAAATAAGATGATAAAATTTGGTAAATATCTATAAATGCAGCCCATCCTTAAAATGTAGTTCCAGTTTAGTTATTAACTTGACTTGAAGACTTGATCCAAAATTGATGTTACTGCAAATTTCACTGGAAGTTCTGGGTACACCATAAGCTGCTCACATTTGTCAAGATTTCTACAAATGAAGACGTGCAGAATGGGAAAAAAAAATCCAGTGTGCTCCTATACCATACTGCAGGATCCTTATAAAGTATTGAGATAAATCAACATGGCAGTTGTAACTACTTGGAAACTTCAGGTTCCAGGTTAATGACTGGCTTTCTTTCACTTTTCAAAAAATATTGCATCACTCACACTAAACCAGGGAAATCTGATCTGGAGCAAAACAAATTCAACGGAACTCTTTGGAGCAACATGGTTCCAGGTAGAAGCTTGATACACCATCTGCATGGCTTGCAATTTACTTTAGGAGAGGTGCAATGCACTCGGAAATATCACAATTTTTGTCAACTTAGTGAATGGTGCATTTATATTATGTTATCATTTCTTTGACCCTTGTCTTCATGCACTGCCCTGCTCCCTCTCCTCTGGGTGGATCATTCCCTTATTATGCAGAGACCTACTGTAAAGAACCAACACTTTGCTGTTGTCTCTTACTGCCAGGTTGCATTATTTATACATCCTAATTGGATTTTCAAGGTAAAGCTACTTATCAATAGATCTCCCAGGCATTGACCAAGGTAATGAGGGAATACTAAATAAAAACTGAAAGAACTGCGGATGCTGTAAATCGGGAACAAAAACAGAAGTTGCTGGAAAAGCTAAGCAGGTCTGGCAGCATCTGTGAAGAAAAAACAGAGTTAACTTTTCGGGTCCGGTGATCCTTCCACAGAGAGAATGAATTAATATTATGTATTATTCTGTTTATGTTGTGCTTCCTCTATCACAAATTCTAGTTGCTGTGAATAGGTACATCCTGATTAAATTAAAGTTACAAATTAACTACGGTTAAAAACAAATCCTGAGGTCATTATAAGTTAATTGCTATTTTGAACTTTTGTTTTTTTAAAATGTTTTCCTACATGACACATGAATTTTGACATACTGTACTGTACATTGGATATCCAGTGATATTGCAGTCTGGGATCTAGGGCATAATTCTAATGCTTGGTTAATAAGAGTCATCTAGCTTGTGCAGTTAAAACTATTGTACTGAATTTCAGGTTTCCAGTTAATGACTGGTTTTCTTTCACTTTCCAAAAAAGATTATTATCTATGACAGTATTATTTTGAGATGCAAGATTTTTAACAGAACAGCTAGTGTCACATGATCTGTGATACTACTTTGATATGCTGTTTAATAAAGTCTGGAATTTTGTCATGCACAATGCATTATTCTTCCAAGGTGCAACTTTGTCCTTTCAAAGCAAAAGAAATCTAATTGGAAAAGTAAAGAGGAGCTTAGCTCAAAGTTTAATTATCCCATGGTCAGAATACTTTCTAAATGTACTGTACACAATTCTCCCATCAAAATGTTAATGCTTGTTCCTGTAAGGCTGCAAAGTTAATTGCTTTTATGTGAGTTCATACAAAGATCAATTGAGAGAACTGAGGAAGGGCTACTCAACCCAAAACGTTAACTCTGATTTCTCTCCACAGATGCTACAAGCTTTTCCAGCAATTTCAGTTTTTGTTTCTGATTTACAGCATCCACAGTTCTTTCAGTTTTTATTCTGCATTTTAGTTCTGTTGTTTTGCATTACTTTAGTTCCCCTCTGTCCATAATTTTCTTTTTGAAGAATTGAGATGCTGAAATTTGAGTGCAACAGTTAAATATGTTGGTCAGGACGCATGAGCATGTTATAAAAAGAGTACATACAGTTTTTATTTCCTGTATGTCATACTCTCTTGGGTAGCTGTCTGACCCTGCACTTATACACCCTGCTAAAGCCTAAAATTAGAAGGAATATTAGTCATTCCAGCACAATTGAACTAAGATCCTTGCTGCTGTGTACAAGGTCAAGACCACAGGGGTGCAGGAAAAGTATTTTGTGAATGATACGCATCAAATTAACTTACAATTACCAAAATACTTGGAGAATATGTATTCCATTGTAAGTTTGGAGATGCAATCAATGTCAAAGTCAACAAGTTAAATGTGTGACTTAAAGATTGGTGTGGGAGGAATGCGTTTCAGTTCATGGGGCACTGAAACCAGCACTGGGGTAGAAGGAAGCTGTTCTGTTGGGTGGCCTCACTTGAATCTTGCTGGGACCAGTGTCCTGTGAATTGAATAACTAGGTTAGAGAGGGCTTTTTATTAATTGGGGAGGGGGAGCATTCAGGTGGGGGGCTAAACAGTCTTACAAAGCAAAATGATATGGTAGCATGGCAGGGAAACTATACCCAGAGTAGGTCAGGAAGGGACAGAGTGTACAAACACTGAAAAAAGCTGCAAACAGGGTCAAAAGTGGAACAAAATGGCAAAAAGGCAAAAATAATGCCCCTTTACTGAAATGCACTTAGTAATCAGAACAAAACAAATGAATTAATGGTGCAAACAGTGGTTAATGGGTATGATCTTATAGTCATTCCTTAGACATGGTTATAAGGAGATCAAAGCTGGGAACAAAATATTCACAGTATGTAACTTTTCAAAAGGACAGGCAGGAGTGGAAAGGTGGTGGGGTAGTTTTGTTAGTAATGAGGTAAAATAAGTACAATATCAATAAATGATCTAAAATTGGATAATGTAGACTCCATATGGGTGGAGGTGAGAAAAGACAAAGGTTCACTGGCTGGGGTAATCTATTAGTCCCCTAACAGTAGCTGTACTGTAAGACAGAGAATAAAGCCGGAGATAATGAGGGTGTGTAAAAAAACAGCACATCAATCATGGATGATTATAATCTTTGTGAAGATAGGGAAAATTAAATTGGCAAAGGTAACCACGAAGAAGAATTCAGACCGTATTCAAGACAATTTCCTAAAACAATATGTTGTTGATTCAAGCAGGGATCAGGCTATTTTGGATCTGGTAATGAGACAGGTTTAATAAATGATCTGAGTAAAATATCTTCTTGGTTACAGCGACCGTAACATGTTAGCAGTTAGCATTTAGCATTTAGCATTCAGTTTGAGAGTAAGAAATGTCGGGTGGAGACAACTGTGCTAAACTTAAATAAGGGTAATTGCATAGAGATGAGGGCAGAGCTGGCTGGAATGAAGTGGGAAACGAGTTTAGCAGAAAAGATGGATGATGACAGGAATAATGGCAGACATTTAAGAAAATAGCTTGTGCCTCACAACAAAGATATATCACAGCGAGACAGAAGGATTCTAGGAAGGGGATAAACTGAGCATGGTTGACCAAAGAAGTTAAGGATAGTATCATATTGAAAGAAAAATAATATAATGTGGCAAAGATTTGTGGTAAACCAGAGGATAGGGACAGTCATGAAAATCACAAAAGATGACCAAAAAACAGGGAGAAAATAAATGGAGGGCAAGCTAGCAAGTAATAAAGAAACAGATGGTAAGAGCTTTGAGGAGTTAACAAGCAGGATACATGAAGGAGAACCAGTAGATGTAATATATTTGGATTTCCAAATGCCTTTTGATAAGCTACTGCACAAAAGGCTACTTAATAAAGAACCCATGATGTTGGGGATAGTATATTAGCATGGATAGAAGACTGACTAATTAATAGAAGACAGAGTTGCAATAAAACAGGGGCATTTTTAGGATTGCAAACTATAACTAGTGGGGTACCACAGGAATCAATGCTGAGGCCACAATTATTTGCAATATATATTAATGATTTGGATGATGGAAGTGAATGTACAATCATCAAGTTTGTAAATGACACAAAGTTAAGCACAAAAGTAAGCAGTAGGGATGACACAAAAAAGCTAACAGAGGGTTATAGACAGGTTGAGTGAATGGGCAAAAAACTTGGCAGATAGAATATAATGCGGGAAAATGAGGTTATGCACTTTGGCAGGAAGAGTACAACAGCTGAATATTATTTAAAGGGGAAAAGAAAGCTGCAGCACAGAGGGATATGGGAGGTCCTCATGCACAAATCACTAAAAGCTAGCATCCAAGTTCATCAGGAAATAAGGAAAGCATGTGAACCGTTGGCCTTTATTTCAAAGGGAATACAGTATATAAATAGTGAGGTCTCACGAAAATACACAAGGTAATAGTCAGACCACACCTTGAATACTGTGAAAGTTTTGTCCTCTTGTCAAAGATATACTGGCATTGGAGGCAGTCCAGAGAAGGTTCATTAAGTTGCCTCCAGGTATGGAGGAATTTTCTTATTAGGAGAGCATGAGTAGTTTGGGCTTGCACTCATTGGAATTTAGTAGAACTCATTGAACCATATAAGATTCTTAGGGGACTTGACAGGGTAGATGTGGAGAGGCTGTTTCTGCTTGTGGGACAGTCTAGGTCCAGAGGGTATAATTTCAGAGTAAGGGATCATCCATTTAAGACAGAGATACGGAGGAATTTCTTTTCTCAAAGGGTAGTGAATCTATTGGGTTTTTTTTTGTAACCACAGAGGGCTGTTGAGGCTGGGTTGTTAAGTGTATTCAAAGCTGAGATAAACAGATTTTTAATCCTGTAAGAGAATCAAGGGTTATGGGGAAAAGGCAGGAAAGTGGAGTTGAGGATTGAATGGCAGAACAGATTTGATATGCTGAATGGCTTACATCTATTCCTATATCTATGGTTTTATGATCTATGAGGAATGTTTGGGGCACAAAGTTATTTGTTGCTGAAATTCCTTTGCCTCCATAATGAAAGTTTGCTCAGTTTTCTGTTTGGTGGTTTGACATACTGTGACTGTGAAAGGAAAATAAGGGAGGAAAACAGAACGACCATCTCCAGTTCAAAACTACCAGTATAATAATCTCACTACTGAAATTTGAAGAAGATAGAGAAATTTGTTGACAAGACTGTGCTTCAGCACTTACAGTGAAGAGCAGCAAAATTATAGTAGCAGAAATATCTACAAGACGTTTGTGACCTTACCAAATACCAAATTCTTCCTAACAAGCACTCGAAAATATTTTCCAATAACATGAGCAGTTAAACTTTCTCAAACACATTCCATAGTGCCATGAATTTACCTTCTGCCAGTCCCATCATGCCATCTGCCCTGCTCACACTCTTCTTCCTGCGATGTTTCCTTCGGTTTATCTGGGGTGAGGGTGGGGAGTCCAGCTTGCTGCTTGAGGGACTTGAGATACCTTCACCTACGGCAGCCCCTTCTTTGTAAAGAAAAGCACAGATATGAAATAATCAGTGCTGCAATTCATTTAAGTCTTTTTTTTCAAAGTTACAATGTGGGTAATTGGAGGCCATTTTGTCCACCCAAACAAATTTTTCTCCCTTACCCATGACTCAAATTGAGGTCCACTCCTCCTTGCACTGCTAACCACTCTAGAGACTGCAGCACAAAATCTAGACTGACAATGGAATGCAGTACTGAAGGAATGCTACACTGTTGGTGGCACTGTTGTTCAGGTAAAGCATTAAACTGAAGGTGTGCCCAGTGATAGCAACCAAGGTTGGAAACCTTGGCCTACCTTGCAATAAGAAGCTAACTGTGGTATCTCCACTGGCACATTGCCTAAAATGATTCAATTCAGCATGGGCTGGAAATCAAATTTGGGATATTCCTATTCTTAAGGGCTGAGTCTCACATCATGCAATTGGTTTTGCACAAAACAATATGTTGTTTTATTTCAACAAGAGAAGCTTTTTCTTCCCCTTGCTTCAGGATAATAAAGTAATTTGCTTTTGATGATAACTTCTAAATCCCAAAGGATTTACTTAATTAATAAATTGTGAGGAGATCAGCCTTTGATCAGTCTGTACCAAGTATTTATAAAATTCACGCTCAGTAGCAGCAGTGTACACCATCTACAAGATGCACTGCAGAAATTCACCAAGGCTCCTTAGACAGCACCTTCCAAACTCATGACCACTTCCATATAGAAGGACAAGGGCAGCAAATACATGGAAACACCACCTCCTGCAAGTTCCCCTCCAAGCCACTCACCATCCTGACTTGGAAATATATCGCCGTTCCTTCACTGTAGTTGTGTCAAGATCCTGGAATTCTCTCCCAAACGGCAATGTGGGTCAACCCACAGCAGGCTGACTGCAACAGTTCAACCAGGTAGCTTACCACCACCTTCTCAAGGGGCAACTAGAGACAGGCAATAAATGCTGGCCAACCAGTGACATCCTCATCCCACAATGAATAATAACAAAAAATGATTCACTTTTCACCGTCCATAATTGATTTGTAATGGGAAAGTGCAGCCTTGTAAAGGTCAGGCTGGAAAACAATTTCTCCATTGAGCCTCTTTATGGCAGTGTGTTCAAATGCATAAACCTGTTGGATTAAACTCCCAGCAATTTAATATGCAGCATTTAGACTCTGGCAGCTTCGAGTTGGAGTAATCAAAATGAAAGCTGTTAGTCCAGATTTTAGGAGGGCTGTCATTAATGCCTGAACTATATCTGATTATTAAAATGTGCATTAGCACACAGAGAAGATAAATTGCACCTGAGGGCTTTCCAATATTCAGCTTTTCTGACTCAGATTTTTCTTTTACTAAGTAATCAGGTTGCTACACAAGATTCTGTTGCTAGATTTCATTGTGTTTGATTTTTAAATCTTCTCGCTTTCATTTTGAATTTTATTTCGTCTCCGCTGTATAATACAGTTAGTATCATTGTCACATCATAAGTCATGATGCTGTTGTGTCTCATGAAGCCATGATTTGGACTGGCACACCAGAACAGAGGATGAACTACATTGTCAGAGGTACCATCATATGGACAAACCCACTCAGCTCTACCGAGCTGAAGCCTCTGTAACAATTCTGCGGCTGCGGCTATTTTGAATCATTACAACAATGAACTGTACTTCCAAATATTCTCCAGAAGGGGTCACTGTTGACAAGTTTGTCTCCATAACCTAATCCCAGCTCTCTCTGCACTGGAAATAGCAGACAGCAAACATCAAAGTAGATCTCGCACCACATTAATCTGTGCACATCATGAAAGGAAAGTTGCTGCACATTGTGACAATGCTGCACAATATTCTATTGAACAAAAAGTAAAATTAATAAATCAAACACTTTGATATTGTTCCTATGAATAACAAATGTGTGAATACAGCTGTTATTCTTCAACTTAGAATTGGAGGAGGTGGAAAGAGATTGCACATATGCCCAACTATTAGCATTTTACACTGACAGGCTTTTTACATTCTTACATTTGTAGGTTTGGGAATTAACACAGATTAAGCCCCTCCTCTCAACATGATTCTTGATGTTATCTGAAGTGATTTTTCACCACCATATATACTCTGGTTAGGCAATATTGTTAAATTTAATAGTACATTTCCACTCAAAAGAACAGCAACTGGAATCACATTCAGATGAAGTAGGAGAGAGGGATGGAAGGCAGTAAATGAAAGAGGAAGGAAGAATAGTCAACTATGATGGAGGCAGAGGAGTGGATGTCAGTGAATGCGGAAATCCATTAATTGTGAAGTTTGTTTTAAAGTTAGACAGTAAGCATCAGTCTTAATACAAACATATACAAAACTTTCAGGCTTGGAGCTCCCCAATAATGCACTAATTTTGCGCCATTGATATCTGTGCTTCCTCTTCCAGCTGGTCACCTACTTGATAGCTTTTCTCCTCCATTACTAGTGAAGGAATGTTAGTGCTACCTCGAATTTAAGGTGCAACTACTTGTTTTCACATATCATAGGCATCAAGGTCATATTTGATGCAGTGTGGCATCAAGGAAAACTAGAGTTAATGGGAATCAGGGGAAAATTCTTCATTAGTAGTGTCATACCTAGCACAAAGGGAAATGTTTGGGGTTGTTGGAGATCAGTCATTTCAGCTCAAGGACATCACTGCAGTTCTTCAGGGTACCAGCCTTGGCTCAACCATCTTCAGCTGCATAATGTTCAGCAGCATTCGTGATTCCTCATGTATTGAAGCAGACCTGGTCCAAATGCAGCAAGACCTGGACAATATCCAGGCTTGGGTTGACAAATGGTAAGTAACATTTATGTCACGCAAGTGCCAGGCAATGACCACCTCTAGCAAGAGAGAGTCTAACCATTGCTCTTTGACATTCAATGGCATTACCATCACTGAATCTCCCAGTATCAACATCTTGGGGGTTACCATTGATCAGAAACCAAATTAGATCAGTCATATATATATAGTGGATACAAGAGCAGATCAGCTTGATTGCTCACGGATGGGGTGCCATTCACCCTCTCCACCACCGACGCTCAGTAGCAGCAGTGTGTTCCATCGACAAGATGCAATTCACCTGAGAGAGGACCTTCCATTGCCTCTATCACTTCCACCTAGAAGGACAAGGGCAGCAGATACATGGGAACACCGCCCCCTGCGAGTTCCCTTCCAAACCATTCACCATCCTGCCTTGGAAATATATTGCCATTCTCTCACTGTCACTGGTCAAAATTGTCAAACACCCTCCCCAAGAACATTGGATTGCAGCGGTTCAAGAAGGAAGCTACTACTACCTTCTCAAGGGCAATTAGGGATGGGCAGTGAATGCTGGCCCTGCCATTAACATCCACATTTCATGAATGATTAATTAAAAAAAAGGGGGCTGTTCCTTCAGTTGTCATCCCCTGGTGGTGTGGTCTGTTTGACAGATGTTGATGGGCTTTTGCTAGCTTGGTAGGTTAGTTTGTGCAGGATTGAATCACGAAGCATAGTTGAGTGCTTCTAATGTCCTCTCACTCTTCTATTTCAGCATCAAATCACTCTGGATCTTTCTATTAAAAGACATGACAGCTTCCGAATTACATTTCTGCAGGATATAGGTCATTTGGACTCCGAATGTGATCCCAATGGGATGCTCTATGGATTCAATGTCATTGGGCAATGCACTTGAGTGGTTATTGATTTGATGGCACAATTACATATACAGAACAAATGACAATAATTTTCTTCATACTGATAGCACTGAAGACAGTAGTTCTTAACCTCTAGAACTCAAATTAATTTTTTAAAAATTGCATTTTGACAACATATTTTCAACTCTGCAATATGTCCCAAAACACTTCAGGTTAGTGACTACTGTAAAGTAGTCTAGTGCGTCAACAAATCTGTACACTGCACGATTCCAAACACACAAAGAAATAGATATGTAACAAGATAGTCTACTTCACTAATGTTATTAAGTAGTAGTATTGGCCAGAACACTGGCGAAAGGCTGAAAGGGGACCCGATTATGTATACAATCTGAGGGGCCTAGGTAGGGTAGACAGTGAAAACCCTCTCCGTTTAGTAGAGGGGTCAATAACCAGGGTGGCAGTTTTTACGGTTAGAAGCAAGAGGTTTAGAGGGGTTTGAGGAACATTTCTTTCACCCAAAGAATTATGGAACTCACTGCCTAAAAGGGTATTAGAGGAAGGAACCATCAAGATATTTAAGTAGTGTGCAGATCAGCTTCTGAAACACTAGTGCATACAAGGCTACAGGCTAAGTGCTGGAGAGTGGGATTAGAATAGATAGATGTTTGACTGGCTTTTACAAATTAGTCCTTCCTTATTATTAGAAGCTGGAACACAATTTTCTGCATTGGCTTTAATGTGTGGAAAGTGATGGCTGGCATGAATTTGCTCTGCACTGGGAAAACTAATCGTTAAAATTCCCGATGGGGACTTTCTTAAAAGACTAAATGGTCTCAGCCATTCACTGCACCTTCTGTAGATTTTTAAACCAACCTGTTCAGATGTGTTTTGACACACCTCTGGAACAGGTGGGACTTGAACCTGGGGGCTCTGTATAATTAGCAGATATGCTTTGGAGCATTCAGAATGTTAACCACCACACTGCATGGCTACTGGTTACTCACAGAGCTAATGTATCTTCCTTACCAGCAGTTTTTGAACTATTTTCACTCCACTGCTCACTACTAGAAATGGAGGAGCAGTTTGGGAATTTTCCTTTGACCTGCGTATCACCAATAACTGCTTGCTCAGCAACAGGGTCTAAACCACCAGAATGCAGAGAATCTGTGGGAAAGAGACAATCCATGAATTACTCAATCTTTCACTTCCTAAATTAGATTCATGCACTAAACTACGGTGAAGCACAGCATCAATATTAGTGATCATTCAAACTACTTTTGCTGTGTTGTGAAATCAAATATTACAACTGTCAAAATATTCTAGGTCTAGAGATTGAGAAGCAAATTCTTAATCCTCAAATGCACTTCTAATGAGATCAGAATGTTCGTCATCACTCAAAAAAGGATTATAATGATATATACACATGTTTTATCCCTGCATTTTCACTCTGTTGAGATCAAGAGCCATCATGCTGTCTCCTACTCAAACTTAATCACTTAATACACGCAACACTCACTGACAAATATCTCAACATGAATTAATTCTGAGCATTTTAGCAAGCTAAAAAGACAAGTTTCAAAGTGGAATAAAAGAAAAGTTCTGGAGAAACTCAGCAGGTCTGGTAGGAGCTGTGGAAGAGAGAGAAACAGATTTCATGTTTTGAGTCCAATATGACTCTTCAAAGGAATCGTATTGGACTCAAGTTGTTCACTCGGTTTCTATCTCCACAGATGCTGCCAGAGTTGCTGAGTTTCCCCGGCACTTTCAACTTTTATTTCAGATTTTCAGCATCTGCAGTACTTTGCTTTTTGTTTCAAAGTGGAATTTTGTGGAGTAAAGATTTATTGAGTGCTGCCGTTGGATATTGTGCAGAGCTTATATCGAGCTGTAATTACCAACACTTTCTTGCCCACTGCCCATGAGTCCATTCAGGCTGGTGGAGGCGCCACTGGCTGAAACAGCACGGGGTGGCCGCTTGCCAGGAACTTTAACTGTTGTCCTGAGAAGATCAATCTCTTTTCCATGTATGTTCTGCATATAATCCTGAAGCGAAAAACAAGTAGAATTCACCAGAACTTAAATGTGCTGTTAGGGTGGTGGAGGAAATATTTTTCAAACTTCACTGTTTGAGTGGCAACCTGACAGAGTGGATCCTCCACCTATTGCAGGTGCTGCCTGATTTTCGTGCCAGGTTGGTGCCCAGGTGGTAAAGTTGAAAATAACCCCCATTGAGCAACATGACAATTCAAAATAACATGGTGAAATGATAATTACAAACCGCTCCATTTTCACTTTGATAGATTACAGCCATCACTTGCTCCTGTCTACTGGATTTCTACCTTGCAATTTCTCTCCGGCCACCTCCATTCACATTGGAAGGCTGTGCGTTACCTGTCATTACTGATCTCAGCATTAAATGCTGACACTGAATATCAAGAGTGGAAAATCGGTTAATTTCACAGTACTGAGATCTCTCATCTTGATGATGCTGCTCGTTGAAAAACACAAGGTAACAAATGATGGATGACACAAGAAATTCACTGGAGACCCTCAGTGTGATTGAGGGAGTCTGTTGGAGACTCTCTTAGTGATCAAGGGAATCTGCCAGAGACCCCTGGAGTACCAAAGGGAGTTCGGTGGAAATCCCCATGGTATTCATAGTAATAAATGTGTATATTATCTTTTGGGAATTTGGATTTTTAAAGTAGAGGTAGTTGGATTTTGGTTTCAGTTCTGTGAAGGTAAAAGTCACATTTGGAACAGTGAACTAAATAACTGCTTAAGTGGTACAGAACCTAAATATTGTTAAAATTTCCAAGGAAGCATGTGACTCAGTTAAGTATTTAGCAGGATACCTATGGTGTTGATTGATGGAATGTTTACACTCATGAGTTTATAACTGACTGAGGAAACAGACCAATGGCCAGTAGATTAGTTTTAACTTCAGTTCAGAAGAATCAGGAGTTTGGTTCAGGAGAATTTGTCTGCTTGGAGGAAACTACATGATCAATTCAGGAGAATAGTTTACACTCTAGTAGAAGGGTTTTGGGCTGTGAAGTCTCCAAGCTGTGAGAGCTTGTGAAGAAGTTCTCGAATTGTCAAAATCAAAAGGAGGTTTAGGCCATCAGAGCTGAAAATAAGTTTGGGCCATCAGAATTGGAAAGAAGTTTTAAAACTGTCTCAACAGTCCTAGGATAAGAATTGAAAACAGTCAGTTGAGAAAGAAATTAAAGAGTTGAGGTACGAGCAATATTTCTCCGGGATTTGAATATCTGTAAAGGATATTGCAGGGTAAAGTTTACAGCTTTGTTTTGCTGATTATGCTAAGCTCTTTTGAAATTGACACACATACATAGCTTTGTTTGTTTTGTTTTCTGTTCTTTAATAAATGTTAAAGAACATTTATAGCCTTGTGAATATGTTCAGTGACTGGCTAACACTGTAACCAACTACAAATTATTAAACTTATGATCCATCAAGCCAGATTTCATGCCAGAATCTGACTTGTCCAATACTACCATCAGCTGGGATCATACCAGCTGTTCCATTATTTATAATTAAGAAAATTTAAAAGAAATCCTGACTTACAATCAACCCAAGAGTGTCTAATTGACCTGGGAAGCTGTAGAAAGTTCATCTAGAACCATTAGAGGGATACATCAAATTGCATCCACTTACATTTCAGTAATAAAATACATTATGCATTACAGAGGATAATGATCCTGACCTTTTGAAAACAGCAAATGCTCCAACCTACCATGAGCAATGTTACATACAGCCATCTTAGCTAACACACTATTTTCCAAATCATGAAAGGCATAATTTTCATAGGCACAGTTGCTTTAGCTGCAAATCCCTCCGAGGAACCAAAACTTACGAAGTACACTTACATGTAAACTTGGATGATAGGACAGAATACCATTGTTACATAAAGTAACATATTTCTTCTTCCACTCTTTATTTAGCGAGTTTCCACTCCTCTTCAACAACACACCCTGTAAAGAAACACACCCCAGAAAACCAGGATCAGAGGAGAAAGTCTCTCTCTCCTACACACAAGCTACTCTACACATTGCTCACTCAAACAACTCAGCTCAAGAAAAACTTGAGTATTAGGATTATTTTGTAACCCAGATTATGATAAATTTGTTTGACTGACAAAAGGATGGAATAAGATGGACAGAATAGACTGTTTCTGATAGTTAAGGGGTCACAGTGAGGGACCATGCACACAACATTACATGCAAGTTATTTAAAAAGATGGCAGGAGAAATTTGTTAATATGGAGAGTTGTGAGGCTGTAGACTTCATTTCCAGGATTAGTAGTTGAAGTGATAGAAATATTCAAGATCTGATTGGATGGCTGTATGAAAGAAAGTGGAAGCAAGTTAGATAAATATGATTTGGACTAATTGCTCATGTGGAGGGTAGACACAAACGTGATTGGGTATACCAAATAGCTCTTTTCCTTACTGTAACCTAATTTTATTTATGTTACTAAAGTTATGGGAGGCTCCTTGGTACTCATGGTCATGGAATCACACTCGGCAGTAGTTAACACCTTCATGAGGGAAGAAAACTGAAAACAGACAAAGTTAAACTGTTGGCTTGATTGGCATGGTTTGTTCCACCAAACCACATTCAAAAGGCCACCTAACTTATTTGACCTACTGATGGAAGGGAATAATTAAGTATAATTCATTAGTCTATGGGGAGCTAATGTCGCTCAAGATCTGTTGGGTGATAGAAAAACGGGACTTGGTGTTACATAGGATAAACATGGTAGAGTTTGAACAGTTTGGAGTTGAGGGAGCATTGTGCATTGTTTGAGACTCCACAGCTGAGCTTCTTCCTTCCCTGGCTCAAACAAGTCTCTAGTGGCACTCACCTGGTGTGGGAGCAGAAAACAGGAAATTAGACAATAAAAGAAAAGAACTTGCATATTGAAATAACAAGCTCACAGTAATGCTTTGCACATTACGAAGAACAACTTGTGGTCATAAAATGTCATTAGATTTACAAAACATCCTATGGCATTTAACAAAGTGGGATAGGGACAGAAGTGGAGAAGGTAATGGACACTCAGTAGGAAGTGGGAGAAGTGGGTTAAGGGAGATGAACCGAGGATTTGTTTTGAAAATGGAGAGAAGATTTTGCAAGGATAATTAGAATTAGTGAGAGTGTGGAGACACCTGAAGTCTCTGCTTCTGATGGTGGAGCACAGAAAATCATAGGCTGATCAATGGAGAGAGTCAAGATGTTTGGTTAGAGGAAACTGTATAGCAGAGAAGCCTGTAAATTAGGTCACAGATTTTGATGGAAAGCCAGTGAGGTCTGGGACTTAATACGGTCCAGGATAGTAGGGAGGAAATAGTTCAAGTCTTTGCTAAACAAATAACATTCAGGTCTTTCAGGATTGTAGCCATTTGAATTGTGATGATGCTATGGTTCTAAGAGGTATATTTTGTCCTGGTTTCTTTTGAGAGAGAGATTGAACAAGAGGTTACGACCAGCCTGTGGTAATGTAAAGAGCTTGCAAGGCCTTGGTTTTTTGTAAAGTTAGAATAATAGAAGCAGCCTGGCTGGGTGTGGCCAGCTCTCACAGACCAGGATTTTTAGATTTTTTTTGGCTTTTAGATTCAGCAGAAGCTGCTGGAGTTTTGAAGGAGCAGAAGCTATTTCCCCCCACCCCCTCTCTCAGATACAGCTAGAAACTGGAGTTTCTCTTCCTACTGCGGGCATTGCATGTGAGAAACTCTGATTTCTGAATTTACCTTTTTGCCAAGCCTTGTGTTTATGGGATGTTACTATATTCGAACAGTTGATTAGTAATAGTTACTGTATCTATTAGTCTGTTAAGTTTCCCAATAGAGTTAAAAGTTATTCTAAGTTCTTTCTTTTGTTTGCATTTTAACTATAGTGCTTGAATAAACCGTGTTTTGCTTAGCGTCGAGTAGTTTGACTAATCGAATTGCATTTGGGAACACAGGACTTTACATTTGCCTTTATTATAAGAAAAAGTTTGGGTCTAGGCTACCTTCTTAAAATATTTTGAAGGGGGTCTAGTCCGGTCCATAACAGAATTTACAGGTTTAATGGTGAGCATTTCTTTAGAAGCGCTATCGTGGACTGTTTAACAGAACATTTATGGGCGACAGCTAGGAATCTAAAATACAATCCAAACTTCCACACGAGAAAGTTCTGATTCTTGTTTAGGTACAGCTTGGCAGATGCCAAGAGCCTCTCTGGTACTTCACCCAAGCAGTAACTCTCTATGCAAGCACCTGGATAGCAACTAATCAGCTATCAACACATCACCACAAAGTTTGATTTCACTACACAAGCATATTTTCCATCAGCATGCTATTAGGAGCTGGAAACTGGCTGAACTTTCCTCCCCACTAAAGATAACTGTATAACCCCTGACTAATATTCCCACCCTGGTCAGTTAACATAAGTAAGGGATGAATAGTTCCGATATCCCTTGGCCCTCCCAAATCATCCATGTTGCACTCTCCCACCTTGGGCAGCTATGATGAGGGGACAGAGGTAAAGAGTTTAAGTGATATTTGTCAAGACTTGTGTATTCTGCCATCATGGTGCTGAAACATACCTGTTTAATTGGGATTGCACGGCCGCTTCCAATATTATCTGCTTTACTATCCAGACTCCTCCGCTCTGTATCGCTTCCCCGCCGAGTCTGTGAAGGAAATGAGAACACCGTCAAACTAAAGCTAAAGTGCTTGTTCTCATTAAAAGCAGCATCTTGACCCTCCCTCTGCTTAGAATGAAACACCTGAGAGTCATTACAGTGATGGCGGTGAATAGAATAATGTACTGCTGAAGTCTCACTCTGCAAAGGCTGAGTGAGTAGCCGAATCAGGGCCAGATCATCGTGAGGATAAATATAAGCACATAACAATCCATATCCATCAGCAAATCAGAAAATCCATTGCACTGCTGCATACAATGGCACTGATATTATAACATTGCATGGCTGTGACCATTTCCCTGGCATCTTTCACATACACTGTGTTGTTCCGGTGTCCTGATATGGTCCAGCTTTTCTCTCAAAGCAAGTGAGAGTTTCACAACATATTTGGTTTTTCAGCTACAGAGATGAAAAATTGAACCTGAAAACCGATTTGCCAGCTATTGCAATCCCATCTGTCCCATTTATTACAGGGGGGTAAACCACTGATTCTGAATGGCTGACCAGCAGTTTTTAATGATCAGAAAAGGCCTTTCAATTGAAGAACAGGCTGATTTTTTTTTAATCAAGCAAGTCAGCAGAATAGAAAAGGTCATATTCTGAAATTCAGCAATTAACCCTTCGATTGGCAACAGGTTCAGTGAAATTAGCTCGTCAGCCTCCCAGTTATGTACCTATCTCGGCTGAGATTCTGGGTTTGGTTCTGTCTATTCCAGCCTCTGCTGTTCCAAACACTGCAGCAGTTCTAGCAAAGTCAATATAAGATTTCAGCTTGCTTCATAGCTGGATCATCTCAATTACTGCTTTCAATCTGGCTACTGAACGCCTGGAGAAGTGCACATTAGGACACATGTGAAAGGCACAATATTCACATCATACAAGGATTTGAAATGTTTTGACTCCCTCTGCAATTTATGTCTCATGATTAGATTTTAGTCCTGCTGCACACTTGGAAAAAGAATGTGGGAATCTCTTTTGGCAATAACTTGGACCACTGGATCCAGGTGAATATCCAAGGCAGACACCAAATTTGGAATATCCCTTGCTACCTCCAGACTCAAGTATTTCATTGCTGGTCTTCTTCAACTCCAAACTATTCAAACTCTACCACGTGTATCCTGTATAGCACCAAGACCCATTCCTCAATCACCCATCTTGAGTGATATTAGCTCCCCATAGACTGATGACATATTTAATTGTTCATTCTAATCTTCATATCCATCCATGGCTTCACCCACCTTCTCTTGAACTTCCTTCAGAATGATCTCTATTTCGAACAGCTACTGCACATTCCCCCTAATTTTTTGCCCATCTTTGGGTTTTCACCTGATTTGGTCTCATCCTCTGAGATTCCCACCCTAAACATCTCCATCTCTTACAAAGCTAATTCCAAAGCCAATTTCTTTGACTAGGTTTTCAATCCCCTTCCAACACAGCATCTGTTATTTTTGGGTGGAGTGGTGAGGGGGAGAGGGAGGTAGAGAGAGAGAGAGAGAGAGAGAGAGAGAGAAATTTGTGCGAATCAAACTCCTACTAGTGACCCAATAATCTGTTTCTTTGTGATGTTGATGGACAGATAAATAATAGCCAGGACAGTGGGGACATCTTCTCTGCTCTTCTTTAAAATTGTTCCATGGCATCTTCTACATCCACCTGAGAAGGCAGATGGAACCTTGTTTTAATATCTCATCTGAAAGACAGCGCATTCGTGCAATGCTTGGAATGTTATGATTTAGAGGTGTTACATGACATTAAAAGGTGCTAGATAACTGCAAGTTATTGCTGTTCACCAGTTCCGTGTGTTTGTGAGCAGAGTGCTTCCCCCTTAGAACTCACTCTCATTAATAATGATACATAGCATATGGTAACTTGGGTTACATTCTGGGATATGAGGCTTGGAGCACTGCAGGCCCTGACCATGTACATTATTCATCCCTTCTCCATTATTCCAACTCAGAGTCTACTCAGGCATATACTATACAGGCCATTTTGGCCTCCTCCAGTGGTCCTCAACATTACAGATACCAGTCTTCAGCTAATTCGATTCACTCCACATGATATCAAGAAACAGTTAGAGACACTGGATACTGCAAAGGCTACAAGCCCTGACAACATTCCAGCAATAGTACTGAAGACTTGCGCTCCAGAACTTGCCGCTCCTCTAGCCAAGCTGTTCCAGTACAGTCACAATACTGGTATCTACCCGACAATGTGGAAAATTGCCCAAGTATGTCTTGTACACAAAAAGCAGGACAAATCCGAACCAGCCAAATACCGCCCTATCAGTCTACTCTCAATCATCAGTAAAGTGATGGAAGGTGTCAGTAACAGTGCTATCAAGCAGCACCTGCTCAGAAATAACCTGCTCAGTGACACCCAGTTTAGGTTCTGCCAGGGCCACTCAGCTCCTGACCTCATTACAGCCTTGGTTCAAACATGGACAAAAGAGCTGAATTCCAGAGGTGAGGTGAGAGTGACAGCCCTTGACATCAAGGCTGCATTTGACCGAGTGTAGCATCACGGAGCCCTCGCAAAACTGGAATCAATGGGTATCGGAGGCAAACTCTCTGCTGGTTGGAGTCATACCTGACACATAGGAAGATGGTTGTGGTTGTTGGAGGTCAATCAGCTCAGCTCCAGGACATCTCTGCAGGAGTTCCTCAGTGTAGTGTCTTAGGCCTAACCATCTTCAGCTGCTTCATCAATGACCTTCCCTCCATCATAAGGTCAGAATTGGGGATGTTCACCAATGATTGCACAATGTTCAGCACCATTCGTGACTCCTCAGATACTGAAGTAGTCCATGTTCAAATGAAGTAAGATCTGGACATTATCTAGGCTTGGGCTGACAAGTGGCAAATAACATGCGCGCCACACAAATGCCAGGCTATGACCATCACCAATAAGAAACAATCTAACCACCACCCCTTGACATTCAATAGTGTTACCATTACTGAATTTCCCACTACCAACATCCTGGGGTTATCACTAACCAGAAACTCAACTGGACTCACCACATAAACACAGTGCCTTCAAGGGCAGGTCAGAAGCTAGGAATACTGCGGTGAGTAACTCACCTTCTGGCTCCCCAAAACCTGTCCACCATCTACAAGGCACAAGTCAGGAGTGTGATGGAATACTCCCCACTTGCCTGGATGGGGGCAGCTCCAACAACACTCAAGAAGCTCAACACCATCCAGGACAAAGCAGCCGCTTGATTGGCACCACATCCACAAACATCCACTCCCTCCATCACCAAGTGCAGTGAACGCTTACCACACTGATTGCTGGGATAGCAGGGCTGACGTATAAGTCTGGGACTATATTTGCTGGAGTTTAGAAGAATGAGGGGCGATCTCATAAAATCCTATAAAATTCAAACAGGACTAGACTGGATAAATGCAGAAAGGATGTTCCCGATGACCAAGGAATCCAGAACCAGGGATCACAGTTTAAGGATACGGAGTAGACCATTGAGGACTAAAATGAGGATAAATTTCATTACCCAGAGAATGGTGAGCCTCTGGAATTCTTAGCCACACAAAGCAGTTGAGGCCAAAACATTGAATGCTTTCAAAAAGTGAGATATAGTTCTTAGGGCTAAAGGGATCAAAAGGTGTGGGGAGAAAGCAGGAACAGGGAACTGAGTTTGATGATCAGCCATGATTGTATTGAATGGTGGAGCAGGCACAAAGGGCTGAAAAGCCTTCTGCTGTTTTCTATGTTTTAAACCAGTTTGTCAAAAGAAAGAGTAATTTTATTGGCTACTTTTCTGCTGGTTGATACTGATATCTGGAAAACAGTTACAGGAAATCAAAGTGGTTTTGTTCTGTGATCGTTACTGATTAAAGAGTCCAAAATTGTTATAATTCATTTTAAATTTTGCAGTTGAGCCAATGATGATATTTTGCCTGAAATGTGATATAGACCTCCATACGTAAGAGAGGGATAAACAGGAGGGTGAAATAATGCAATAGAGGAAAGATAGTGAGGCAGAAGTACAGACAGACAGACCAGAACAGACAGCAGCATAATCTAGAACTCCTCTTAGTTAACTATAAACTGAATGTACTGCACTGTAATTAATTAAAGATCTGAGAAATAACCATTAATCCGCAGGTCGCAGAAATTCTGTTTCACTTACATCTGAAGCGAAGCTTTAAATATCATGGCTCCATGTCTACAGTACTTGTCAGGATTTGTTAATGCCCTTCGATATTTTGGCATCATGCTTTAAACATAGAGATTCTTCTCTAGCCCCACCCCCCACCTCCAAGGACTGCAAGATGCTCATATTAATCAAAGCATATCAAACCAGGTGTACTGATCCCTGTTGGCAGTATGCTGCCCTGTATAGAAGTCCGAGAAACAATTACTGGTAATGGGATGTACATTTGGGCCACTGAGCATTACAGGACAGTTGAATGACACCAACTTGGTAATCATCCAAAAACATAACCCTGTTGGCTGCATCACGTTTTTTTTTAAATATTAGAATATGGCTTTCCGCATATAACCCATTAGTTATCAGTCTCCAGTTGGTGCAAAATCCTCAATCAGGAAGGAAATAATGTGACTTGCACTTATGTGTAGAATTATACTAAGCTTAATATTGTCACAGTTTAAGAGCCTATTACACAAAACCATCAACAATATACATTTCCAGAAAGAAACTCACCTCCTGACTCCCCAGAGCCTGTCCACTATCTACAAGGCACAAGTCAGGAGTGTGATGGAACATTCCCTGCCTGGATAGGTGCAGCCCCAACAACACTCAAGAAGTTTGACACCATCCGGGGTAAATCAGCCAACCTAATTTGCACCGCATCCACAAACATTCACTCTTTCCACCAATGATGCTCGGTAGCAGCAGTGTGCACCTCTACAAGATGCTCAACAGAAGTTCACCTTACACAGCACCTCCTAAACCCATGACCACTGCCATCTAGGACAAGGGCAACAGATACATGGGAACACCATCTTCTGTAAGTTCCCCTCCAAGCCATTCACCATCCTGACTTGGAAAGACATTGCTTAGAGTCACTGAGTTAATATCCCTCCATGGATCTGAAGTTGAAGATCAGCCACAATCTTACTGAGTGGCAAAGAGGGCTTGAGGAGCCAAATGGCCTAGTCTGGCTATTATTTCTTATGCTCATTTTCTCGAAACATCCAGAGCTGTTAATCATTACAAATCCCATCATAGGCAATCCAGTTCTCCAAATCAAATAGGCCAATTGGAACATACCTCACTCTGGTTAGACCAGCAAATTCCTCCTGGGATAATGATCTGAACATCTCCAAATCTGTAGAGTGCAGCATCACATCACATGGTGCAATTAATCACTGAACTCCCTAAATTGGCAGGATGTCCATTAGTTTCTAATTCATTGGGAGCCTACCTAAACATTTCTCACAAATATAACACAGCAATAGCATCAAACACCAAGTGCAAGCAGATACCTCAACCTATTGACACCCAAGCAATTTACCAACAAGTAAATGATCTCTAACAAGAATAAATACATGTTGCTAGACAATTTTCTCCTGAAAATCTTGTGAGCTATTTCCTAAACAGCTCAAGGAATCCAACGAATACTTACAGCGAAAAGACTTGAACGTCTTTTTGAATGTTTGCGGACAGAACCTGGGGTACCAGAGGCTTGGCAAACATCAGACCGCAAATCCCGGTGACTGATGTTCGGAGTGGAGGGAAGAGAAGAGGAATAATCACTCACGTTGCCACCATTGCTTGCCTGCAAAAGGTAAGGAGGGGTGAGGAGAAAAAGATTGAAATGAAGTTAACATCAACAATTTAAAGATCAAGTAGTAAGATTCTTCCAGAACAAAACTAGAGGACATAGGTTTAAGGGGAGAAGGGAAAGACTTCAAAAGGACCTGAGGGGTAACTTTTTCACTCTTCTAAGTTGCATTAGATCTGAAGGCACAGTGGAGCCTTTGTTGCAAAATTTACTCGTAGGGTGATTCTGTACTATTGATCAGCAGTTGCTATGGGATCTGCCTCCTTGCACCTATGCAGCAGTTTCCTCATAATCATCATTAGTGCAGAAAGAACACATTCAAACACAGAACACAGTCCATCCTTGATGTATTGTGAGAAGTAAGGGACAGCCCATTCATGCCTGGAAAGAACTCATTTGGGTCACACTTTGCCACAAGGGTCTGGATTAAGTTATTAAGGACTAATAAGCCTGAAACATGGCATGGAATCTGGACATTAAGGTGACTGATGCCTTGTAAGCTGTTCTGGGTACATCTTGCCTGCTGTCATAAAAAAGGAGACTCAGATTTGGGATGATTTACTCCTGCAAGGAGCTCCTTTGAGGTTGACCAAAAGAATCCACCATCACATATCCAGGGCTCAGTGTAGACACCATTGTTTTTCAGAAAGCAAAAATACATTGCTGAAGCTCTGCACTTCCAGTTAGTGTTGCAGAGTTAGGCTGCAGTGCAGTAGCAATGTACACATCTTATGGTGAAATGTTATTGCTTCATCCCTGTCATGAGGATCTCTTAGTACCTACTGTTTAGCTGATGAGGGCTCAAAAAACATTAATCAAATGTCTAATGATCAAATGGTTAGTGCCACCCAGAGACAGGTGATAGGTGGATCTCTGTGATCAAGGTGGCTGTTGGGTGAAATACGATGATAGATATTTGGAACCAATTCAATCTTCTGTGACACTACCTGAAACTAGAAATGATTGATGATTGACCAGCAAGCCTAATCATTAATAGGAAAGACAGTAACATCGTTAAGGTTTAGGCCTCTTCCCACACAGTTGTGGTAAACTCTACAAGGCAATATCCCAACACTTAAGGTGGATTTAGTTGGGTAGGCAGATAACCAGTATTTTGTATAGGCAAACTGCAAGGGTTTAACTGGTTAAACTCCAATAGTATCCCACATAAACCTAGCTTTTCTAAGCCTGGATTCTGTAAATGGTTCTGGAGTTAGGTGAGTGAGACATGTCCCTACTCTGCATTTCATGTTGGGCAAAGAGAAACTCCACCTTTGCGGACTTCTTATTTTGCTTTGGAGACTCTTAACCACAACAATTTATTTACATATGTGTCAGACACACTGCTGACCCAAAAAACTCATTGTATGCTCTCATTCAAATTAACCACAAGGCAGTGAAATGGACTGAGATGGTAGGAACTGCAGATGCTGGAGAATCT